AACTACAACTAGAACGTATTTATTCCAATATCAAAAAYTGGAAAAATAACAAAATAAAAAAACCAACCTCATTTTTATTTACCCTAAATAACCATCCAATGTGATGAAGTTGACCAAGCACAGGTATTATGTTTGCTAATATTTTGTTCGCATCATGCAGTGCTTTTAAAGATAAAACACTTAAAGCACCATGAAGAGTATTAAACCAACAAGTAGCTTCACTTGCTTCTTGAGTTCTTAATATACAGGAATGTACACCATCTGGTGAATGTAGTTCAATAGTTTTATTATCTGAAATGTATGTAAAATTATAATTTTTGAATGACAAAAATATATCATTGTATAAGAATAAATACCAGGATCAGGATGCTTATAGTTTCTTGTTAAACAACAAAGTTGCAATGGTAAATAACGAGCATCAGGCTTTTGAGGAGAGCGATAAATTGGTGAATTTGTAGATAAAAATCCTCGCTGTAATTCCCATCCAACTTCTGATATGATAGTGGCTTTTCTAAAATATGGAGTTACTTCTCGCAAATATTTTACTGAAACAATAACAAATAATTCTAAGACTTATGCCTATTTATTTTATAAATATTTTAAATAAAAATTCTAAAAATTAAAAAATCATCATTTATTTACACTTATTGCATAAAAAAGTAAGTACTTACTCTTAAATTGCACAAATTATTTTAGTAAGCTAAAATTAATTTAAACATATAAATTATACCATCATGAAATTACAGCTAACCTTCTAATTCAACAATTTTTCCAGCTTGTTTAAGTGCTTTAACTGCTTCATCGTGAGTTGCCTCTCTTAAATCTTGTTTATTAACGGATAATATAGCATCACCTACATAAAGCTGCTCAGTTTGATCAGCAGCCATTCCTTTGAATATTTTAGATATAAGGATGGGCATTTTATTTTCACGCCCACCTTTAATTGAAATTCCCAAGCMATTGCTATCTGTCTTTACTACACGAATGAGACGTTTCTGATTAGCTACTGAGTCTGGTACATCAACACAGTCAATATGACTTCCCGAAGAATCTGTAAAACAAGTACATAAGTACATCTTACAGAATAAAA